AGGTCGAAACTGCAGTCCACTCCGGCCGGGATGAGAACAACTTTTGGGAAAGCAAGGCTATGTGAAATTCGATGGAAAAACATCAGCTCAACTCATATGATTGTGGGAAAATTCTACCACCAGTCCTTCATCACCTTAGACGAAATAGGGTGAATACATCTCATTACACTATTTATTTGATTGCGGAAAAACTCAGCTACCACTCCTCTTTTCGGCCTAAACGAAACAGACTAAATACATCTCGTATATCTCATCTACTGGTAGACTCGAATTCATACTTAGCAACGAATGATATTGTCAACGTGACCGAGATGGCTCCTCTGCTATAGAGTTCATGACATTTTCCAGCGTCAGACTATGAAAGTGGTAGGTTCTGACGTTGCAAATAGTTAAAGGACTGCGGACAAAATTCGTTAATCTCAGTCTCAGTCTCATTGCTAATATCATTGATAATTATAAGATGTATTCACCCAATTTCGTTTTTAAGGTGATCAACGACTGGTAGAAGTAGAATTTTCCCACAAATGATATGAGTTGAGCTGATGTTTCCATTCAATTTTCACATAGCTTTGCTTTCCCAAAAGTTGTTCTCATCCAATCAGGAGTGGACTGTAGTCTCGACCTCGCATTGGTCTTATCGACATCCTCAGCGGGAGTCGAACCGCGACAGTGCAGGTCGGTAGCTTGACACGCTAACCACTTTTTGTGGAATTGTCGATGAAGCAAACGTATGTTTTGCTATAACAATCGACTACTATACTTTATTTTTCGAAAGCTTTGTTTTCCTAAAAGCAAATTCAATGGAAACATCAGCTCAACTCATATCATTTGTGGGAAAATTCTACTTCTACCAGTCCTTCATCACCTTAAAAACGAAATTGGGTGAATACATCTCATATTACTGATTTACACTGGTAGTCACGAAAAACAGTACTTAATTCCAAATATTGATAATTAGTTTTTCTATTTTACCATTAGATTATATAGATGAGGTGAATTGACACGATTTCGTTGAATTTTCACACAATCACATGAGCAGACGTTGCGTTTTCGTTCAATTTCACACAACTCAGCTTTCACAAAAGGCAAAGTTGCGTTCATCTCGGTCTCTGTTACAATGGGAACACGTTTCGAAAACTAGGTTCTGCCACGTTTATAGGACGAAAGTGGTCGACAACCAGCATAGAGGTCACACGATCGTGGTCTTCACACCGAAGAAGCAAAAGTTCGTTGGAATTAAGGCGTGTGAAGGTCTCCCAGAAGCCGAAGCACGATTGCAGTGGAGTGGAAAAAATACTCTTGGACCGTTTGATTGTGCCAAAAAGTCCCCGGTTCACCGTCCCGCGACCACAAAGAACCCTTCCAAGGCTTTCTTCTGTCGTGTGACAGATATCGTCAAGTATCGGCTTATTGCGTTCGGTGTGCTCTGATGATAACTTTCATAGCGACGCAGGTGTGAGTTTAACACACTGTCATTTGGGCCGCAGGGCGATGGGTTTATTACTTCTTTGCTCAATCCGACAGTCTTCGCGACTTCGGCTTCCGGTGAATCACTTCACACAAATCCGTTCCAAACAATTTTTACTTTCCCAATGAAATGTCATCTCACACGAAAGCCTTAAGGGATTCTTCAAGACTCATCTTTTATTCATATACTTTTCACTTTGATTGCCTCGGCTCACCCTCCTCGCAGCCAATTGTCACTCATTTTGGTCCTCTTTTGTGCATTTGGATTCCACCTTTTTTGGGTTTCACAACAACACCGGCCGACACATGGTCTCACAATGCAAGCAACACGAGACCAGTGTTGACAGCCACAGTTTTGGTAATACAGATACACACACACACACACACAGACACAAGGATAAACCCTAAACTGGGCTTTGAGCAAGGCAAAATGCTGACTGAAAGAAGCGTCGAATTCTGAATGTATTTTTTCCTACTTTCTGTCCTTATTTCTTTCTTTCTTTCTTTCTTTCTTGTCTCCATTTTCCTTTTCTTCTTCAGCCGAACCAAGCCAGCCCATAATCTCTTCGCCTGCCGAGGCCTCAACTTCAGACTTCTACCGCCTTAAGTTCTCTCTCATCTCCGGCAGTCCAATCCAGCTCATTAAGGCTCAGTTGCGCTCGCGCTCGATTCCGGTGAGTTCTGTCGACAGACGAGGAGCTCGAGGTCGAATTGAATAGCCGGCACCTTTTGACGAGCCTCAATTTGCCTCGTTTACGTCGGTTGGCTCGAGTCCTCTGCTCACTCCATCGTGTCTGCTTTTGCTGCGTAAAGTGTGTCGGTATGGTTCACTGAATGTCTGTTCCCCAGCCCTCACCAACAGACCATGTGCAACGCAGGAGTTGACATGTCCATCTCATCTCAAACTGGTATCTCGAGGCTCATGGCTGGAGCCTTCCGCAGCGCTCCATTCGTGCTTCAGCACCACGAACTAGCTCTCCGAGTCCCGTTTGGGATGGCGATGGCACAAATTGCTCAAATAAGTACTCAAATAAGTCAGTTCAGGTCGCTTAAAGTGATTTAAGGACTGAGAGTTGAGTTTTCCCCAAATCAGATGCGTAGACGGCAAGAGGCAATTGAATGCTACCCGGTCTAGCCTCGTAAAAGCAGGTCTCGTTCAGACCGGACCGTAGTTTCCATCTCTCCTGAACTAGCTTCTCCAGCACCCTTAGCAGGACTCGAACCCTGGTCGGCGCTAGTGTGGTGACGTCACCATTCCATTCCATAGTCACAATGGCCGGTAGATCACCGGACAGACGGGATACTGAAGACGGGCCAGGACTCTCCCAACTCATATTTTTATTGGCTCATGAAAATAGGTAGGGTTGTAGATTTCGACGAGAAACACATCTTTGCTTAATGGACAATCCGACTGTTAAATTGTTGGTCAAGCAAGCCCTGGCTTGCCTAGAACATAATACACGTTCTGTGGCTGACTGGTAGCCTTCGTCATCACGTGGAGGCGTAAACGTCCAATTGGCACCCACGATTCGAGTTCGAGTCCCGCTAGGGGTGCTAATGAGATCGGCTCAGACGAGATCAAAACCGTTGTTCCGTTGGATTAAGAGGCGATGATAAAATTCTTTTCAGCGGCAAGGCCGAATGAAATTTAGAGCAATCTTGATACCTAATTAGCTGATTATGGAAAAAAATCAACGTTTTGATCCAAGCCTACCCGATGGAATTGGTAACTAATTAAGATTTTATTAAATTTTATTTAGCCTTCCCCTCCAAAAGTTTCCTCCAAGTGACATAAAGTGGGCAAGTTTCACTCCATGAATTATTGCCTATGCATTGTATTTGCAAATAAGTTTTATTTGTATATAAGTTAGTCCATGAAAGAAGTCTACTGTCTTGCGTTAAAATCCATGTCTGCCCTTAACTCAATGACATTTGTGCCAGTGTGGTGTGGTGTGGTGTGGTACTGCATCCCAACTATACGCTGCCCTTATCGGGTTCGAGTCCCGACGTGGGTGTTGATGAGACCAGTTCAAACAGTATCGAAACTGTAGCTTAACCCAATCAGGAAGCGAAACCTGTTAAGAGGCATGGCCAAGTGAAACTCAATGGAGTTATGAGGAGCCTAGCTATTCCCTTGTGTGAAAATTCAACAATCCATCATTAATCATCTTATGCGACTGATTTTTTTCACACTCCACAACAGAACCACGAGTTACCATGCGCTGTCGACTACCAAAAAGAGTGTGAACATAACTCTGATGAGACCGAGTCGCCGCATTCTTCGCCAAGTCGAAATGGGAGTAGATTCGTTTTCGCTAGTTCATATTGTTTGTTCATCCGCCATGAATTTTAGGGCTCCTTTTTAAAGGGTAAGTGTGTGAGCCACTCCAGGTTGTCGTGATTGGCATCGTATCACTGCCAGCTAGTGCTATTCATTCGAGACTCTCTAATATTCTGATACATTGACTTACGATCATCCCTTTCACCCACTCCTATGACAGGATGATTTGCAGGAGATTTCTGGGCAGCCGGAGATTATCTCCAAAGAACCTGTCGATCCGATGGGTGAAAGTCTACAATATGAACACTTGCTGAAATACCTGAAAAACGACACTCTCTATTCGTTGAACTTTGGTGTCTGCAACGAGGATGCCTGTACCCAAGAACCCATCTTGTTTGACTTTAAAACCAGCATTGCAACGGGTAAGAATGTGGCTTTATTTTAACAAATTTTAGCTTCTACTAAATATGCAATTTAAGTAGTGTGTGTGCTTATAGATATCATTAATTTATTTACGGCCATTATTTCAATTGTCCTAACCATTGTCACTTATCTTGTCTGTGCATCTACTACATCAAGCTAAGTTGAGCGAAATGAAAGATAATTTCAATTTTATTAAAAGTTGATCACATTTATCAGGCAATATAAGGTCTTACTGGTTCACTGATATTGCTAATATTGCTAATATTGCTGGAATTACAGGCAATGTTTGCCTCAGCTTGTGTTTAGCTTCGGGCAGCGCATAGTCTGGGCTTCTATAGCAGTTATTACCAACCCGATTCGGCTCAATGTGCATTCTAAGTGTAACGACGATTCTAGCGCAAAAATGCCAAATTTTATTGGCTTATGACATAAATTCGACTGAATTGTGAATGCTTAGGAATTGCCTCTCAATTTGAATTTGTGTTCTACACTGCCGTTATGGTAGTGCTTTTTTATAAAAGCACACTAGCTCAAAAATGGTTTCCGTCTGTAGCATGAGTAGTCGCTCCCAATGAGCCTAAGCATTTACAACTTTGAGGATAATTTAGATATTATAGTTATTATATTTAATATTCAGAGTGGTCTAAGCAGTACTGTTTAAAAAGCGTTTTCTTTACTATTTTACGTTTTAGATAACAACACTTTCGAGGTGATGATGTCGCAGTGTAAGCTCCGATTTATGCACTTCAATTTTTACCCAATTAACACCAGCCTATGCTTAGAAAGTGAATTATTTCTAGTTCTACTTTACTATGTTCTTCTTGAAGGTAAGACTTCTAACCAACCCGAGTATCAGATCATATGGCGAGCAGAAGACTCTGATGGAATATTGGTATTGTTAAAAGATTAATAAGTCGCATCGTGCTTAATAGTAATAATGTGATTGGATGTAGTTCAACTTTTTTCTTGAGACTTTTTTAACTACAAAATGGCATGAATTCAGCTTAGCCTGAATAAGTTCATTGACCAAAGTTATTTTTGCAATACTACGCTTGTCTCTGAAAGGCTTTCAATGTGATCACTGTGACCCCAATCCATCAAGGATTATATGAAAATAGATACTTAGAAATAGACGGGAAGCAAAAACAAGTTTGGGTTAAAATATTATATTACTCATAAGTAGGATATTCCCCTAATAGAGAAATTTGTTACAGGATGCCCATCCGCCTTTTTCATAACAAATTTACATTACTTTTTCGTTTATTTTTCAGTTGGAATCCAGTCCAGCAAAGGCGCCTACTTCACTCTATTTTCACCTTCAAACGCGATATTGATAATCATATCATTAATGGCGGTTAATTTCATCTAAATAGTCCTTCTCGGTTATGTATTTACGCAAGGTGTTTTGGCCAAATTGTATGAAGCCGCATTAACTTCTGGGATAGTTTGCCTATTGGTCCTTCTTGTGTGCAGTTTCTGAAATAATTTTCTCAGTAATCTGCAATTTTCATGTGTTAAAAAATAATAAAAACGGTGCTAATTCTTCATTACTTGTCGAGGCATCGTACACTTTCTTTTCTTTTTCTTTTGGAACAGTATTTTATTTTTCCACCTTTCTCTTTTATGATTCCAGTGTATCTATCTGGCCTAGCCACTATTTGCCGCTTTTAGTGACTCAACAAATCGAAGATGATAATCAGGAAATGCTTGAGCTTATTAAATTTCTTTTGTTATTGCAATGATTCTGTGAAAAACCAATAGTTTTTTCATCACCTTAAATTTTAATTCCTGTTTCTATACCGTTTTACCAACAAGTGAAAACGAATGCCATATTGTGGCTTTTCAACATAAGCAAATTTTAATCTTCCATAATGCATTTCTTAGTCTTTCTTAAGTTCCAGCTCCATGTATGGCGTGTGCCTAGAACTTTAAAATGTGTATGATGTTTTTCTTTTTAGGTGTTTCTTCTTTTCGTCTCCCTTAAATGCACACACACACACACACAGAGTCATTCTTGCACATGGAAATGCACGTCTTTTCTCATTTTCATATCCGGGTTTTGGTCTGGTTATCAACGAAGATAGCCTGGTTCCTAAGTTATACATTCGCGTGCAACCCTTTTAGTTATAACTTTGCTGCAATCGTTTTTGTACCTAAACCTGTGAATTTTGCATGTCTTCATTACGCTAACGTTTGCCTCACCCTATCTCGAATATATAGCATTCCTTGCACGAATTCACGACAATCCACGTTCGGTTTTCCGAAAGCATGGATATGAGGTACAACTTGATAGTTTTTCTGTTATACCCATAATCATGAATCGACAACAATACCGATGATGTTGACGGAATTTTAATTTCAGATCACTTTTTTTCGGCGTTACACACTGTAAAACACATTTTCACCCGACTCAGTCCAGCTTTGTGGAGAAATAAGATTTATTCAGTGGTCAATCAATCCGCTTTTTCTGCTGTCCCATCATCAAGGTTTCTGTCGCCGCCTCGTTAGAAGACAAACTCTGGGAAGGCATAATTATCGTCATGCTAACTATCAAATTAGGTAGGGAGTGTATGCACTGATAATGGGAATGGTAGTTGAATTTTCCCATAATCGGATGAGTAGAATTGGATTTCACATGGCCTTGTTTCCCCAAAGATATTTTCATCTCGATCTGAGGTATTATCAAGACCCCCAGCGAATGCAACTTTGCTCCATTCGACAATACCCGGCTTTCCCTGAAAGTCTCATCTGCTCTGTGACCCAAGGGCACTGTTTGCATCGTGGCATGGTGGTTAGCGTTTTGAGATCATACGCGACAGGGTCATGATTCGAGTCCCGGTTTGGTTGCTAGTGAGACTAGTTCGGATGAGGTGGAACCTCAGTCTGCTCCAGCCGGACTGAGAATAGTCTCTTGGAGGCAAGGCTATTTGAACTTGATTGCGAACGTCATGTTTACCCATATTATTGTGTAGAAATAGGGTGAATACACTTCATACATAAATAATGTAATGGTAGTTTTTAAGACCTATCTATAAACAAAAAAATGTTTGTCAACTTGTTTATAGGGTATACTCGTGTTGTGTAGTATAGTGTGGATTCATAGCGATGCCACCTACCATCAGCTTCGAGTGCGCGATTGTATTTCATCTTATTGTACATCCGAGCAGAGCTTTCTTTGCAAGCAGAGTTGAGTGTTTCAACGCGGCTTTGTTCCTGCCAAGCCAATTGTGCGCCTTAGTTTGCTTGAAACTGCTTTGATGGGATGGATTCGCCATTGAAAATGAGTAGCAATAACCAGACCTACTTTCGCTTCATGTTGGTATCTATCATTTGTAAAGTTATGGTTACACGCAACAACAATCTGAACCCAAGCTGGAGGTGAAAGCTGATCCGATCTCCGCCTCTCTCCTGATGGCGCGCGGCTCAGTCCTGACTACTTCGAGCTCAATGCTCCTCAGATCCATTCGCCTGCGACATACCGGATCAACCGATTTTTAATACCAAATATAATTTGTCCTCGAAGGCATGAAGAACAAGATGGTGTGGCCCTTTGTGTGGTTGCTGTTTGACCTTGTTTTCCAACTTGGTCATATTGGCAGGAAGACTTAGAAGAAAACACTTTGTCCGGAGTCCATTGTATGCATCATCATTTGCAGAGTCGGACCGTGCAAGTGGTACATTCCCAAACGTTTCGCCGGCATCGTCAGTGAGTATCGCCATTCTTAG